GACTGCTTGGCAATGCCCAGAAACAGCTGCCTCCTACCTAGTAGGTCTTTTTTGATCCCAGTTTACTTTGTCTTGGGAGAAAAAAAAAATGTGACCATTAGATATAAACCAAACACATTCATTCCCCCATCCCTGGAAGTGTTCAAGGCCAGGTTGGATGGGGCTTTGAGCAACCTGGTCTAGTGGAAGGTGTCCCTGCCCATGGCAGGGGGGTTGGAACTAGATGATCTTTAAGGTCCCTTCCAACCCAAACCATTCTATGATTCACCTAGATGCATAATCTAACAAATATTAGTCACAAACATTAATATTGGGTAGAGCGTATCGCATTTATCCCCTCAAGGATGTGGTGCTGGTATAGTTTGCATCATCAAAAAAGCACATCTATACGTGGTAATGAGATTATTGTGCGGGGAAAGTCTGGGAGTGTCTAGAACCAATTTAGAATGAAAAACCTAATCTACTTTAGGTTGTTGTGGGATTGCTACAGGTGTAAGGACGGTTTTTCCTCCCACCACCCATCTGGCTGTGTTGTTTGCTACTGCACTAAATATTGAGGCTGATCTTGAGGCATCTCACCAGACCTCTGAGGAAATGGCAGTAAGCTGAAAGGTGTGAGTCCCTCTCTGGACAATGGAAAATCAGATGGGAACAAGACAGAAAAACTGCTAATGCCCAAAGACAAGCTGCAAGCAAGTTCCTTGCCTGGAGACAGGCACAGCTTGCTTATCTTCAAGTTATGGTTTCCAGCCTTCAGAAAACTCAGATGTACTGAGTGGTATTTGGCATATATGTTTTATATTACTTTTGCAGTGATAATACACTCTTTCTGCCTTAAAATGAGATTTGCAAAATACAAAAAGGCAGCTCTGGAGAAGAGTTATCAAAACACATTGCTATGTTTTTCTTATTTCCAAACACCAAGTAACATTTACATTACAAGTAAGGAAGCCAAAACAGGCAACTGAGCAGAAAGGAGAGTTGGAAACAGCAAACACATAGAAAGTTCAGAAATGCAGAAGGTTATCCTAATGTTTACCCATATTTTAATGCTTCAAGAAGACCGAACAATTTGACACAAGTTGAACAGCCTTTGCCAGCCAGTTTGATGTTGCACTGGCTCTGTGACAAAGCCAGGCTGTACAGGAATGTTGGCATTGTTTTCTGATCAAAGCGAGCCCTAACGGCATTAAACCTGACTTGTGGTCTGACATGTTTTCTTCCCTCAGCTGTCACTTCTCTACATTGCCACCAGCTTTTTCTTGAGCTGTCACAGTATGATATTCTGCTAGTTTAAAGCATAGTCAGACTTTTATTTCAGATAATAAGAGTTGATTTTCATATATATTCTGCTATGCTTGGTAAGGCGACAGGAGGTTGTGAGTATATTATGGCAATGCAGAAAAGGTTGCTTTCAGGGTATGGTGATTTTCAGTTTCTGGTGGCTCCAATGATACTGAAAGAGAAAGAGGAAGCAGGAGAGCTTTAGCAATTTTCGGATTAAGCTCTTGTGCAGCTTAACAGTTAAATGCATCTTCAAAACTAAGCATATGCTTATGTTCCTTTTTTAAAGTACATACATGGAGCAACTGTGGCTATAGCAGGATACGAGTGGGTTACCCCAGTAACCCATACAGGCATCCTGCACAGGATAAGATGCAGCACGTTTTTGTAGTTCTGTCCACTAATAATTGGTTTTGCTTTCACAGATAGTAAAAGGGTCTTATAATTTCAAATAGAAGTAAAACTGATTAGATATTATGAAATCAAACATCAGGTGCTCACAAAATATAACTCCGTTGATGGCAACTGAAGCATGATAGAGTTAAGTAACTTCATAACTCGAGTCTCAATTTTCTGGTGCTAGCTTCTCTGCTCAGATGCGACATAACCCATCATAGAGCACTTTACAGAGCACGTACAGAAAGAGTTAAGGGTTTATTCATTGCTACGTTGCTTCACAAGCCTGTATTGTCCACTGCAATCATTGTTGCTGCTGCAATTCAAATTTCTCTTCTGTTGAGTTTGATTGCAATTATATATGATGCCAACCAGAGTGAACAGGAGAATATGCACCAGTCAATGATACTAAAGGCTGGATACTAGCTCCTGCAGCCACATCTCCCACCTATCTTTAAATCATTTAGTGTGGTCTAGCCCTTACTGTCTCCTTGGAAGCAAGGAAGCCAAGCAGACTCTTATAGTTTTTGAGTAGCTGTCATTGGTTTAAAATGACTTAGCCTTAGTAGATATTCCATCTTCACTTTATAGCACAATGGACCTGACCTAAATCAGCGAAGACAGATTCCTGTCAAAGCTGTAGTAGACATCAGGGATGCATGAGAAGACTTAGAAGAAAACAACTATTTTAGATCTTTGCACAGCACAACTCAAACTGAATTTATTATAAAGTTCTGAAATGTCCAAACACATTTTACTGCCTTCTGGTTTCCAGATGGGTCTGCATCCAGAACACCAGAATACCACAAAAATGCTGCTTTTTTCCTGCTGCAATCAGAAGCAGCTGCAACAGAAGGCTATAGAAAAGTCTGATTCTTAGAAAATGCCTGTCTCTCTTTTTCAAAATAAAAGACGTTTAGATAATTTGAGTAAACTTTGCAGGGGCATCCAAACATTTAGAATTGCATTAGGACACACATTTCAAACCCTTGGAAGCATATCCTTCGCTAGCTGTTTGCTCCTAATGAGGGAATTGGAGTACTCCAGTGAGTAAAATTCAAAAGACAGGATTCTGGTCTAGCCCAGCTCTAATTTAATAGGTAGCTTTGATCGTATCACTTAAATTCTAGGCTGCTCAGTTTCCCCGCTGACCTCGGGAATCATGCTTCTAAAGCAATTTGCTGGAGTTTCAAGTTTGCACCCTTATGTCATTATTTTATTCCCTGTAAACATGTACAGTGTTAAATTTAACATTTTTGGAGACTAATCTTTATTCAGCATCCCACTGAATTCTATTCAAAATCCAATAAGATACCAGCATTTGGGGTCTAATCAGCAAGGTGTCAAGAGCCCCTAGACTAGCTGACTCTTCTGAAAGTTGAAGGTATGCAATAATTTCAGAAACTGCACAGCAGCTTGCAAGATCAAGCCCATAAGGAATTTTTTTACTATTTATACTTCCATCGTAAAGCTATTGTCTGCCTTTCCAATTTGGCTTTGCAGTCCTTGTAGTCCTTGTAAACCCCTGTAGCAGGTTTACACAGCTACGTGTGCACACCCCGTTCAAAACACTTGCCCATATCAAGCATACCGTATGGAAATATGCACATGCATGCTCATGCATAAACCACATGGTGAGGTGCAGGAAAATGAAGGTGCTTTTAAAGTTTTTATCTGACTTTATGGACGATTAAAAAACAAAACAAGATTATAATTTAACCAAGAATACCTTCATTGATATTAGTTCCCAGTATCTAGTAAGAGGGGATAATATCTAAATGAATAAATATAAATAAGTGAAGAAGGTGAATATACAAGCTCTTGGGCTTATATGGAAGTTGACTGATACTTGCAGCAACCCTGACTCATAATAAAAATGATTTATTTAAAGAGTTATTATGAACATTGCAGGAAAGGAGATAACAGACATGCACCACTTTGTTTAGAGTAAAATTTCCTGTAAATTAAAAAGAGTTCTTATTCTCTGTTTGGTTTTGATTTGGTACTGTACCAAGTATCTGTTTATAAAAGGAAATATGACGGTACAAAGTGTACAAAGTGAATTGCAAAAAAGATTAACAGTCAAGGTGAATTTGCTTTAAATTGAGTCCTAGCAACATAGACAATGTAGATCCCATTAAGGTAAGGAAAGTCGGTCTAAAGCAGAACTTTCATGCACCATTAGCGAGAGCTGAACTGCCTGAAATTCAGGCCAGAAAGCTACTCTCCAAACTGGGATTGGTGTTAGCCCCACAGCAAACTCATGGGTCACTCTCAGTGTCAAAAGAATACAATCTTAGCCGTACATCATGCTTGAACCTCCCTAATCTGTGTGCTGTGCTGCAATGATCTCAACCCCAAGAGCAGGGCTCTCTAAATGCTTCTTTCTGCACTTTCTGAGGAACTTCAGCTACTGGTGATGCTAATCAGAAGTGGAGATGCTCAGCACAGTGCGGTAAGTGGAGATCCTAATAGAGCTAAGATGGTTTTGTTTTGCTGAGGTGCCAGTGCATACAGTAATGACATAAGAGACACATCAGTGAGAAAAAGCCTGAACTGCTTTTACAAAAAGATTCAGGTGATGAAGAGATAAGGCAGGGAAAAAAATGTTGCAGAGCAATATGTAAAAGAAAAGTTTGATACAAGTAGGTAGTGTGTTTCAAAGGGATTATGTCTTGAGGACTTTTTCCTGCAATCCATTTTTGCTGAGCTTTTCCACTTATAATACTCCCTAAACAGCTTATTAAAGAGTCTTTCTGAAGTTACATTTATGTGACAAAGTATGTTGCTACCTCAAATCGTCCCATCCCTCAGAAAATCTTCTGGGAGGAGTCTTGGATGAAGATAATGTATTCACAGTAGAAAAGCCATAATGAAAACAGACATCACATGTTTCATCAGAAAACTAGAAAACAACCTGTTTTGCAGAAGCAATTCACTTTGTTGAATTAGCCCTGGAGCCACCCTGGTATCTCTAAAGATCAGAAAACCAAGACTAGGACTTCATGGATCTCCAAAGTATCCACCCAGGGAAAGAAAAGGTTTGTGGACAGAAGTGCTGGATCAGGGTCATATTCTCCTTGTACATACAACAAAAGATTTATATGGAGGATAAAATCCTGAAATTATTGACATTATCTGGAGGCCAAGAGTTACACGGATTCATGGGGTTTACTCCAAACTGTTTTAAGATCCATTATTTCATATGTAGTGCTATGAAATTAATGCTAGATTTTTAAAACCATGTAGTTAATAAAACCAATTTGCAGACAATCCTGTGTATACAAGTTCAATGGTTTAGAAGGTATGTTGGCACTTACCTGGGGGCACGTGTTCATTCATGATGACGAGCGATGCTGGTGTAGGCCTTCTTTTCCTGATCTGTAACATGCATAAACCAAGGAGAGTCATTAGGGTCCACCAACTGCCTTGTACCCAAAGCAAAGCAAAAAATCCATCTGGTGCAGTCCTGAGTATAGACCAGGCAAAGTTAAAAAAGAAAATATTTAAAGAACAGCAGCACGTCACTGTCTTACTGACTGCTCGTCTGGTCTAACAGTGATCAGGGTCATGCTGCTGCTTGTACATGGAAAGCAAAGGCACAGGGGAGAGCTTTCCAAAATACCTTTAGGATTTGCAATCATCATGGTGAATAAGTTTTTGGACATGTATTGCTGACATGTATCAGTCATATCTTAAACTATTGACATTTAACTTTGCTTCAGGAAAATGATTTCAGCAGTCTGTGAGCTTATGTGTGCAAATACCTAGTACTGTCATAGCTCGCACAAGTAATTGTCAATATTAATATTTTGTAAGTGCACTTGAGAGTTGATATTGCATGTATGCCTTCCAATGAATTTATGATATTTCTAAACTATGGCCAGAGGTGTTACTAGTGTTCTTTAACTAAAGAAAGACGATACTTAAGACTTTCAAAAGAATCTTTTCAAAGAGCACTATACAACAGAACTTTACATATCAATATATAATCCTGAATTGTATGCAATTCTTCTTATTCAGAGTTTATTTGGTTAAGTACTTCTGTTCCATTAACAGTGGTTGAACTACATATTGGACTACCCTCCTATAATGCACACATTTGCATTGGAAGTTTTATGTTGCTTCACTAAAGACTCCAGGCTATTGATATTCTATCGAATTTAAGAGAGGGACCAAGAGTATTTAAGCTAGAAACCATTCTGACACAAAACCTCAATGTCAGTGCGTTTGCTCTTTTTGCTGAGAGTTGCTGAGCCAACATCTGTATTTAACTGGGTTCAAATTTTGCTTTCAGAAGTGTAAATGGAAAACTACATCATCAGGGTTAATGGGTTTATTCCAGATTAGCCTAACTGTAGCTGACAGCAGAATTTACTAGTTCAATTTCATCACACACCCACAGTGAAACTGTATAGCACTTGGAATTAAACTCACAACATAAAAAAAGGACTGCCCATAAATACTGGGCAGAATTTGGGCCACAGCATTTCAAAAGCCATGGGAATTCCAGGAAATCCTAATCCTACGGTTCTCACAGATTTCAGAAAAATATCAGAACACACCCTGCTTGAATTCATTGCAGGACTGTTCCACAAGGTACGCACATCTCACAGCTCAGAAGTACCTATGGACAAAATGAAGACCCGCAGCAATTCTCCCCTGCACCCTTCTAGTATTTCTTCATTCAGTGGTCACCCACAACTCATCATTTTCTGGCAAAGGCGGCTGACTTTTAAGAGACATGACATCAGAATATTCAGGAAACCAGATACCTGTCCTAAAGGTGCAAGTAATTTCATAGCTAATGGCACGGAACTGTTAAGGTTATAATATTCCCCTGGTATCATCTAAAACTAGACTTACCAAAATAGCAGCAAATGTCGAGAAGGACTTGCACTGAGAGAAATATACTGGGTCACCTAATTACGATTTATCCAGCTTTTCTCATAAGATTCCCTGTGTCCTTCTTTATGCGTGTCTACTCATATCTGTACACAATAATAGATATCTTTTCCTCCTTAGACATCTGTATTGCTATATACATGTATGTGTAGGTTTTGGAAGTGAGTCAAAACCTAAAATAGCACACACATAATTCCAATGCGGACATAAGTCAGGCATCTTTCTACATGTATATTTTTTTCAAGTATGTAAAACACTGTAACAATGACATAAAGAAGACTGTATAAAAATCATGAGAAATACAGGAGGTAACTGAAGTGATAACCATTGTGCAAAACATAACTCGTATTTTCTCATGTTAAAATTAATGGTAAATAAGCTGTCTTCTGCACAATATTTCCATTAGGTACCTATTATCGGCTTCATGTTTTGCTTTATGTACAAATAATACACTTTAGTTGATTTGTTGAGAATGTGTATTCATGTGAAGTGTATGCATTAGGGCATAAATCCAGTTACAGAAAAGGCACAACAAATATATACTGAATAAACCTACCCAAGGTAAAGAAGCCTTATTCTGGCTAGAGGACATATCATCCTCCCTCTTTGGGTGTATCCAGACATCGCTATAACCTCCAGAGCATTTAATCTATAGTTACACTAATGTAAGTTAGAAAAGCATTTAGGCCACAAGTATCACCTGTTCTCACCCCACATCTTGCTCCCATTCCTACCCCATTCCCTCAAAACACCAAAAGAAACTCAATCTTCCTTACCTGCTCAGCTGCCTCCGGATCTATTTGACTCTGAAACAGTGGCACAGCAAACTGTATTTTTTTAGGGCTGTTGGGCTCCATCGTGATGCTGAGGTGAGTCAGACGAGAGAAGAGCCTGGAGCTTGAGACTTGGTCTGCGCCTCTCCCCAGGCGCCCTCCCCACAGCCAGGCTGAGTGCTCCTCAGTAACAGCTGTAGCTCCTGAGTTAGCACGAGAATTTGCGTGAGCCGAGCAACTCCCCTATTCCACATTCATGGAGATGCCACTGGCTTGGCTATTTTCTTTTTTTTCCCCTCTCCCCTCTCTTCTGCAGTCCTTCAGATCCTCTCAGCACAAAGCTGAAAGGAACAATAAGCTAATTGTTTACCAGTTCACTTCTACATATGCCAAGCATTCACTCAGAAGCTAATTGAAAATGCGATACTAGCATTGCATGGCCTGGAGCCCTGGGATTTGAAAAAGAGGAACACTCCACCGTACATTACTAACTGGCTGCTCAGAAGTGCAATGCAAGCTCCCTCTGAGTATTGCTGATGGGCTCTTAATTATTGATGAACACAAATCAGGAAGTTTTCAGATTTTGGGGGTGGAGGCAGCAGGAGGGGTGGATGCAATAATTCCATCTCTGTTACAATGTGCCAGAACCATTCTCCTCTTCTCACATATCAAACAATTGCCTTTGCTCTTTCAAATCCTTTTCTAAAGAAGCTTATCTGGTGGGCTAAGTAGGTTTGCACCTTAGGCTGGGTTTGCAGATTTAGACTGCGATCTCTTCTGGTGGGCTCCATCTCACATGATTTCAGATACTGAGAACATCTACATTTAAGCCAGCTATCTGGGCTCCCACATACTAGACATATCAAAGGGTATTTCACCCTGTCCTAGTTAAGTGGAATATAGTGTTTACAGGAGATAACGTTTTCTCTCCATTAACCCTAGAAAAAGTAAAGATGACTCAGACTAGTTACCTCACTTTTAGATGACTAAAATTCAGAGGGCCAAACAAATCTGTGCCTTTTTCCAAGACGGGGAAAAGAATTTGGTCAATCATACCAATGGTACCCTTTGGTGAATATAATTGATTTTCACTTTTCATTTCACTTTAATTCAAGAGAAGTGTATGAAACAATCCACAGCGACCACTGACTTAACCTACCTCTTCATAGGTTGAGCACCTGACCACTGCCAAGCAGGACAGCAGAGCTCCTGCGACAAAGGTATGCTTGATGCCAAAACTGGATGCCCGGACAGAAAATGCCCCAGAGCCAGTCCAAAGGGCTATGCTGAAAGCTTAGCTCTAAGCCGAAGAGCGTCGGGCCAATCTCCTGTTACACACTACCAACAACTGGGAAGAAAAAGAAAATGAGGTACAGCAGGAAAACCCAGACTGGCCCAGCCCATCACAAAACCAGCTTTACTTGGGATGAGGCTACCTGCAGAAAGAAAGTGCATTTTGGTCAGGTTTTTGGAGGGCCTGTGAACTCTTTCAACAGCGAAGGGAAACACAACCAGCCAGAACAAAGAGCAAACAGACGAAATTCACGGAGAGGAATAACAGCTTAAGTCTGCCTCTGACAAGACTGTAGTAAGGAAGCAGAGAAACAGCTGAATTCAGAGCTGAGGCTGGACATCACCACAGCTCAGAGGAATTTGGAAACATGTATCTTGTTCAGGCCACTGAAAGCACTAAGGATTTTCACAGTTCATCACAGGTTTATTCAGAGTCACTAAGTATTTTCCAACTTGTGCCAGCAGAGAAGGCGGGGAAGGAGTGTGGATCACGGTTAAGAACAATGCATAGGCCATACACAGCAGAATAAACCAGCAAGTCAGGGATGGAATATTTGTTTGGCTTTGATTTATACAAATGAAAACTGTTAACACATTATTGGAATACCAGGGTAGTTCTGAACAGAGGCAAGCACACCAGCTAGCTGGTTTCTGAAGAACCTGATAAAGCTCAGGAGGTGAAGATACACTAAAAGTTAAAGACCCAGTTGACTCAATGATCAAAAATAACTCTCAGTGAGGGCTGAAATTTCCCTCCTCATCCAAATCAAAACTACTGTGTACCATAGTGGTTTCCAGCTGATGGCTAGTAGCTGGCAATTTTCCTGCTAGGTTTATTGTGATAGTTGAGGTGGCATTAACTTAGAATCATAGAACCACAGAAGAGTCCTGCTTGGAGGGGACTTCAGAGATACCTGGTCCCACCTGCTGCTTGAAGCAGGGCCCGAGATCAGGTCACCCTGGGCCCTCTCTGGCCGGGTCCTGAATATTTTCAGTGCTAAGGTGAAATGCTCAGTTTCATTTACCACAACAAATGAAAGAGGTGCACAGAATAGTGATGTTCAGTATTTCATACAATCATTTTTAAGCCTTCACTACTCCTACAAAGACAAATCATAATTTGCTTTATAGACTTCCACAGACAATTAGAGCCAAACTGCAATTGCTGGTACAACTAAGAGTCTAAGACACTAAAGTAAGAGAGGCAGCACACACCACTTTCACTAAGGACAATTAGAGAGTTGTTTTCAGGACAGTCTAATTATCCAATTTCACAAGTCCTTCATGAACAGACACGCCATTAACTTCAATGACAGCTTCAGACATAGAGGATATACACAGGGATACACCCAGGGGGAGGACATACACAGGGATCTGAAGTTGTGGCTTTTCTCTGATAAATTTTTGTACTTGAAAGAAAATTTTTGTTTTCTCAGTCCCAGATAACGTGAGAAAAATGTTTTCCAGCTGCTTTGCTATTATATGTATTAATAAATAGTATATTTTAAATATCGGGTTTCTCTATGAAAAAACTGTTTGCCATAAAATATCTATTATAGCTATGAAACTTCATGTATTAAATTATGCTACATTTACAGTGTATGTTACTGTATTACAGGAACTATAATTCTCATTACAAAGGCTTAAAATTTCTTATGTTAATGATAAAGTCAGTTAAAAAAGCACATTCAGATAGTGAAAAATATGAAAACATTAAGTGCTCAAAGGATTATAGAGGTGTGTTTCAGCTCTAGATTGCCGGACATTGCTGTCTAAAGGAATCATGACTCAAAGTTGTTGCTAGTAATAGTATCTGAGAAAAAAGCTCAACAGTCATCTGAAGAAACAAACCAACAAAAACACTTCTTGGCGGGTTCAGAAGGGAGCCAGACAACAGGGACAGAAGACACAAGGACGGATCCTTAACGGGGCTGCTACACCTCAGAGAGAGGCCCACCGACGATGAGATGTGGAGATACTTGCCTCTGCAGCTCTCCTCTCTGTGCTTATTTGGAGCTGGTGCCCAGCAATCTTCACATGCACTATAACAATAGAAGGATTTTTAAAATAGTGTAAGAGGCATATTTCAGAGAGCATTCGGGTATAGCATTTCAGGATTACTACATCAGCTCACTCTTACACCTAATTTGCAGCACTAGATGCCTCTGGGCAAAGTGTGCTTGCATTTTCTATAGACTGCATCATAGTCTGGGGAAGAGCTGAAATGCATTTAAGTACTGCCAAATCCTTTTAGCTCATCTTCTGTTTTTAGTGCACTCCCCACAACGTTTCAAATTCCTTTATGATTCAGCTAAAACTATCATGGAAGAAAAAATAACAATAACTGTCTAAGATCTTTCCTTCCTATGTCATTCACTAGGTTCTGGTATGAAGCACTGCCTGTTACTATATCCTACTGTAATGACGAGCTATCAGAGTACTCACGGCACAGTTCCTGCTTGAGGTATTTTTCCTGTTGTGTTAGGGGAGATTTATATTTTTTTGTCCCGGCCAAAGACAGAGGCTGCTGGGAAGGGAATTCAAGGGTCTCTGTCCTGCACTCTCCTTACGCAATTTCTGTTGTGGCTGTGATCTGCCTCAGCTTCTCTGCTGTGGTCAGGGACTACTGCAGCATCAGCCTGGTGAGGAGAGGAGAGAGAGCTGGAGCTGCTTGTGAAGCCAACCTACTTAAGGTTTTGGCTCCTAATTTCACCAGTGCAGATGCAGGGAAGCATACAGTTACAGTTCTCTGATCCACCAGGCTGCCTTCACAGAGCAAAGACTGGGCTTGGAAGTGGCACTCCTTCCAGCGTATCTCTTAGGACATAACTTAAATCCCCATTGTAGCCACTGATATGCAAGAACCTTTGGCAAAGATGTGTTGATCCATGCTTTCCTCGGGCTCTCCGGATGATACCTCTCCTCATGCCAGCATCTCCTCAGCACGCTGCTGGGCAGCCCCAGGGTCATCGGGGGAAGAAAAGCTGCAGAGCACATTGCTTCCCGGCTGCTGCTCACCGGCTTTCTGCTACAGCCAAAGGGGACTTTAGCGTGCCCCTTCCTTCTGCCCTTTTCTAACGAACTGACATTTTTTTCACTGCCTTTGTCCATACAGAGGCATCAGTTTCGCAGCTTTTGGTGTTGGTCATGGGCAGAAGGGAGGCAGAAAGCATGAATGCTGGACAGAAAAATATTTCTTTACTGAAAGAGTGGTTAAACATTGGAACAGGCTGCCCAGGGAAGTGGTTGAGTCCCCATCCCTGGAAATATTTAAAAGACGTGTAGATGAGGCGCTTAGGGACATGGTTTAGTGGGCATGGTGGTGTTGTGTTGATGGTTGGACTTGATGATCTTAGAGGTCTTTTCCAACCTTAATGATTCTATGATTCTAGGACACGGTCTTTGCTGTCCACACCACACCTGTTCATGGGCAGGTTTTCCTCTTGGGGCTCTACACCGGGCGTTGCTCTTAGGTGCTAAAATGACATGCAAGCCTTCCAAGAAACCTTAATGATCTATGATTCTAGGACACGGTCTTTGCTGTCCACACCACACCTGTTCATGGGCAGGTTTTCCTCTTGGGGCTCTACACCGGGCGTTGCTCTTAGGTGCTAAAATGACATGCAAGCCTTCCAAGAATAAACAACGACATATTCAAAATGACCCTGAAAATTTCCTTTCAAAATAGCTAAATACAGGTGTTGCAATCAGGGTGACTCCCACTCAACCGCTGGAAATTCCGTTTGCTATTTATAAGCAGAAAATGTGAAGAATTTAAAATCTGCAAGGGTGGGAGAACATAGAGCAGATCACATCTGTCTCATGAGCAGTAAGTGCTGCTGCAGGCAGGTCAAGAAGAAGAATAGAAAGTCTTGTTGAGCAGCAACAGTCGGTGGGACATTCAGCGAGAGCTGTTGGCCTAGTAACAGCCTAACCCAAACTTCCAACACCAGTACTCGTC